TATATATATATATATATATATATATATATATAAAAGATCGAATTACTTGATTTATTAAAATTATTTTTTTTTAATTTAATTGATAATAATTAATCTGTCATATTTTTATATATTTTTTTAAAATTACTTATACTATTTTTTTTTCTTAATTAATATTCATATATCTTCTAACTAATTAAAGTATATGTCATCTATATTATTTTTTTCTTATAATTAATACTTATCTTTTCTCTAACTAATTAGAGTGCATGTTTTTAAAAAGTTTATAATTTATGTATTTTACAAAATTAAGAGAATATATTTTAAGTAGTGGTGTTTTTGTTTATAAATAATTAATATATGAGATAATGTGAATTAGGTTTTATATAAAAATAAATAAATAAACAATTATTTTAAGTTGAGTTTTATAAATTGAAATGGAGGTTGTACTTGTTACTTTCCCTCCAATTTTAGTTGGAATTCTAAATATATACTCCTTTAATTCCTTAATAAAAGTCATGTTTAACCAAATCATTATAGATGTTCATCAATTTGGTTATGTTCATCAATTTGGTTCAATTTGACGAAATTGAAAATTTGAATTGAACTAATTAAATTGTCTTGGATATTTCTTTTTTGGGTTCATCTAAACCAAACGAATTAAATTTAATGTTATTTGGTTTTAGGTATTGGATTTATTCATTTAAAATTTGAGTTAATTCAAATTAAATCAATTAATTTTTATATTATTATTTTTAATTTTTTGTTGGTTAACAATTAATATTTATGTACCATGTTGATTATTTTTAAGACATTTTCTTGTTAAAATATGTAGTTTTTTTATTACTTTTTTTCAAATACTTAAAGAAATCGAGAGGAACTATATTATTAATTTATCAATTTAGTTAATTTTTGATAATATATCAATTGAGTTAATGTTAAAAAATTTATTTACTTTGAGATTTTTTTTTTTAAAAGAATTTCATTAGACATTTGATGACCTGAATCAAATCATTTGAATCAACATTGAATTTTTTTTGCTTGGGTTAAGCAAAAAAAATATTATGAAATTCAAACCAACCTAAATCAAATAAATTTAATTGGTTTGGATTGAGTTTTTCATTAAAATCGAACCATCCCGACCCAAGAACACCCTTATGAATCACATGAGCTTATGAATCACATGAGCTAATATACGTGGTTATATTAGTTAATTTTATTAAATTTATAAAGAAAATTAATAATTATATTAGTTTTATTCTTCTTATTTATCATTAAATTTTTATGAAAGGCGAAAATATTACTCCATAACAAAGATTATACACCAATAAAATTGATAAATGATGACTAGAGAGTTTAGGAGGTGAGATTTTCTTTTTTAATCATGCATTAATAAAATAAGTACTATATCTATTTCAAATTGCAATTTAAGGTTTTTACGCACAAATTAAAATAATAAATTTATCATTTTTTGTATAATTTTACTAAAATAGTCCAACTTTCTCAATAAATGCATTCATATTAATTGTGTTAGTTAAATAATTTATAAATATAAAACAATTTTGATCAAGAAAATTATTCACATTTATATGTATTTGTTGATTTTATTAAAATGTGAAATTTTAATTAAAAAAAAGTAAATATTCTCTTAAGTTTTTATTTATAGTAAAAGAATTTCGTAATATATATTTATTGTAAAAAATAACTTTAAAATTGTTGCGTCCAAACTCTTTATGTTTTAGTTATGACAAATCTTATGAACAAAAATAATAAGTCTTTTGAGTATTTATGCTATTGATGAGTTTGCATAATGTATTTAAAACATCAATTAAAGTAAACTCAAGATTGATTCAGAATGACTCTTTGAATATAGACAAAAAAGAAACAAGTTTAAGCCAAATAAAATATAATCAACATGATATAATTATCAAAATGAAGCTTCGAAATGTAGAACTCAAAATGCCTCAAAATTGATGCCTCAACTATGCATTCAATTGTGAAAACCTTCAAAAGACTATGAAGTTCACTTATGTGATATTTTGAGCTCTAAGAATTCATTTGAGGAGATATTGGTGGCTATGAAAAGCCCGAAGAAGTATCTACATTCTTCATGGAGAAGTCAAGAGCTTATATGGATCAAATCATGTGAAAAATTGCAAAAGAAGTTACAAATGATGTTGATCTTGACTACAAAACATAACTTTTGTATTTTGCACATATCTTGAGTTATAGACATGATCTAGAGCAAAATTTGTGGCTATGGAAAGCTATAATAATCATCTACAACCTTTATGAAGAACTCGTACACTGGAAAAGCCTATCATGGAAAAATATGGCAATCAAGATGAAAACGTCATTTTGAGTTGCAACAATAACGTAGTGCATTATTTTGAGCATATCTAGACTTGTAGACATGATTTTGAGCCAAACTTGGTGGCTATGGAAAGATAGAAATATTGTCTACAACTTTGATGAAGAACTCATGGGCTAATGAGGTCTTTATCATAGACAAATTATGTATGCAATGTGGAAACACTGATTTATCTAAAATAACATGATGTTGCTCCAATATTTTAGGAATATCTTTTGCTATAGGAGTCCAAATAATATGAAACCAATTCCTAATGATCAAGGACAAATTTATCTACAAGTTTTATAAAGACATCAAAAAATAAGTTGGCCATTTGAAAGGTCAAAATACTCAATTACATAGTCTGTATCTGTAAAGTTTCATATCAGAGAAAATGGAACTCAAAACATGCTTTGAAGGAACCTTGTTTGAGAAGATTTGTTGATGTAAGAAAAATATGTGATGTCAGCATAGAACTTGGGCAACAAGACATGCTCCAACAACTAGTTCGTCCCATGTGGCTTATATATTGACCAAATACAACTAAAAAAATTAGAGGAGAGAGCCTACATCATTCTAAGTTATTAATCAAGTCCCCTTCACTCCAACACTTCTCTAAAATTGAAATGCAAAAGATGGAGTGAAGTATAGTAGAGCTACCATGAAGAGTCCAACACATGAGTGTTGATTAGTTGTATATTACCCCCCAAACACTTTCTCTTTGTATATAATATGTTTTTATCTCAAACCCAAAATCGGTAAAAGTTTAGTTGTGAGAAAGGTGATAGGGAGAACCCATGCAATGCGGGTAGCTTAGAGAGAGCCTCTCCCATATTTTGTCTAGAATGAAATAATACTTAGGCAACTTGAAGAGGTGAGAGAATACTTATGTTTTGTCTCACCTATGGCCAAATGGGTTTCATGATTAAGTGGTTGCCTAGAGAAGTGGAGAATACTCGTGATGCCTAGTAAGGTGGAGAATACTCTTGATGCTTGGAGAGGTGTAGAATACTCACGGTTCCTACAGAGGCGAAGAATACTGGATTGTCTCTCCCATGGCCAAATGAGTGTCATGGTTGAATGGGTGCTCCAAGCCAAGACTAGGAAGGTGTTGTATGAGGGAGTTGTTGAAGTCGAGTGTGGTTAGCAAGGAAATCTGGTAGAGAGTTGGTATTGTTGTTTATATATCCAACAAGGGTGTTGGTTATGTTAATGGAAATCTCATTAGTTTGGGTGAGGACTAGGTGTAACCTTGGGTTTGGGATGAACCAATATAAAATTCTTGTGTGTTGTCTTTTCTTACCTTTCTTTTACATTATGTTATTAATTGTCATACATATTACCTTTGTATCGATCATAAGGATTCTGATATATTTTAAGCAAAACAATTAGCACAACATTCTTTTGAGTGTTAAATAGCCTTCTAAGAGTTGAATAGATTTCTAAGCATGTACCAGTTAGGTCGGACCCACTCTTCGGCCTCCATCAAAGCCGAACACCCCTTCAGCCTCCTTTACAACCGAACACCCCTTCTGCCCCAAGGAAAACCAAACAGATGAACGAGCCTTCAACCTCTAAGAAATAGTGGCCCCTTAAAGCCAATTCTCGAACACCCCGTTGACCCTTCTCCCATCCAAATAGCATGGTCACAAGTATTCGGGAAATAGAAAAGTCGAATACCCCTTCGGCTAAAGACTAACCCGAACAGGTACCCTGCCTTAACAAATAACTAGCCATAACAAATAACCATTAATTAATAAAAGACACATTAATTATGATAAACAATCCACGTCAACCGTGGTTAAGAAATAAGACTCATCATCAGCCCAATGACTTAGAAGGCCCATCAGACCCAAAAACGTCACTATAAATACATAATTGATGGGACTGATGGGACATGTATGATCATTTAATACTATAGTAATTATTGCTCTAAATCGAATACTTACTTAAAAGCCAGAGTGCCTTTGCAGGTACCCTCCCCACTATATGGAGCAAGGATTCAGACAATTATACTTAACCACAAAGAGAACTAGAGACAAGGGCACTAGTGAGGAAGTGTTTCTTACATGAACAAAACAAAAATAGTATGTTGAACTATATCTTTTTTAACATAATAAATAACACAAAAACCTTTTGAATATTAAACTTGAACCTGAAATAATGTTTTTATTGTATCAATTTTATGAGAAATACTTTTTATTTATAAATGATGTTTTAAGCATAACACATGGACTTTTAAGATATACATTTAAGATAGCTATAATCTTTTTAGGTTAAAAACCTCACTTTGGTCCCTGATAATATTTTTTTATTTCAATTTAGTCTCACTTTAATTTTAGGTCTCAATTTGGTCCCCAATAATTTAAATCATTGCAATTTGGGACTTCCGTCCAAATGATTTAAACGGGGTTAACTCCTGCTGACGTGGATGCTAGGTGGATGCCATGTAGATGCATAGGTGGATGCCAAATGTCATGAATACACCTGGAA